TAAGTTTCCTTTCTTTTCTTTAATTTTAGTTTATTTTAGTAATTTTAGTTTCAAGGTCTCTATTATGGATTTTGAGTGATCTCAAACCAGCTTTGTCGCTGTTCTTAGAGAAGGCTGATCTTTTGAAACTAGAATTCATTTCGAACCGTAATTTGACAAACCCTTTGATTCTTTACCGATCTCTAATTTATAAGCTTATAGCATAAATTGGGAGGTTTCATCAGAGATGACTTCAGATTTGCATTGTAAACAGTTCGGCACCCACCGTGGGGCACGTCGAGCTTAAAATTGAGAAAAAAAATTGTTTGAAAACAACCGTGAAACTGAATTTTAGTGCCCGCTTTCTTCTTTTTTCTTTTCCTTATCTTCCCACCCTGTTTTCCTCCCCTGTTTTATTATTTTGATCTTAAAAAAAAAATCATTATACTAAAAATAAAAAGAGTATTTCCTTTCTTTTCTGTTCCTCTAACTTATTTTCTGTTCTTAGAAATTGTGCTTATCATAGTTCCTAGTTTCTTGTTGTATTATTTATATTTGCACAAGATCATTTTCATTGCTTATCCTGCTTTATTTGGTGAAAAAAAACAAACTTGCTTGCTTACCTTTCTTATCATACTTTCCAATTTCTAGTTTTTTGATTATTTGTTTTGCATAGGGTATTTTCATTTTCTATTGCATATTTTCACTTTTATCATTACGGCTTGTCTTCACCTTCTGGAAAAGAGAGAGAGAGAGAGAGTGCTTTCCTTTTCTTATCATAGTTTCCAATTTCTAGTTTCTTGATTATTTGTTTTGCACAGGGTATTTCCATTTTCTATTACATATTTTCATTTTTATCATTACTGCTTGTCTTCGCCTTCTGGATGAGAGAGAGAGAGAGAGAGAGAGAGAGAGAGAGAGAGAGAGAGAGAGAGGGACGGAGGGAGGGAGGGAGAGGGTGGTAAATAAATAAATAACAGAAAGGGAGTAGAAAAATATATGTTCTTTCCTGCCTTAGATTTTCCGGTTATATAGAAAATTCTTGTCTTTTTGTTCCATTATTACTGCTTGTCTTCACCTTTTGAAACAACATGACCAAAAGAGTGAAAAAAAAAGAAAGAACTAATTATTGTATTCCTTTTTGCTTTAGATTCTTTTAATTCCTTGCCATATTTTGTTTTCTTCATGTTTCTTGAATTACACTCTTTTATTTCCTTGTCATACTTGTCTGCTTCGGTACATTCTTTCAATATTTGTTTTCTTCATCTTGCTTGAATTAGATCCTTTTAAATTCCTTTCATGTTTACTTGCTTGATCTTTCTTGATTATCACACTTTTTTCACCCATGTGCACCAGTATGCTCTTCTCCACACTTTTCTACACAATATATCTCACAAAACTACTAAAATTTTTTTAAAACCCACGCAGTCGGCATTAATGCCGAGAGGGGCACCTAGCTGTTGGGAGTAATGACGGTTAGGGAAAGCGTAAGTTTTAACTGTGAGCACCCCTCCATAATTTTTTGCCCCAAAGCACCCCAAGGCACCAGGCCACTAGTCGGAGAGGCACCATACAGGTGCCCCTCAAACCCATAGTACCCAAGTCTCAACCCACGAGGAACCATATCAAAAATAGTCCAGGAGTCCAAGCTAGTGGTCCTCAGGACTGTCATTTAGAAACCATAGACCACCAAGTCACTTAGCACCCTGAATAGTCAGGGTATTAGACCAAGGACAATCCTCCAAGACATAGGGATTAGCCTTAAAGTCCAATCGGCATAGCCAAGAACAGTCAAATGTCCGAACACCTCAAAGTCTTGAGCCAGCCGACCCTAGCTTTGTTAACCACGGAGGTCAGTCATCTAACCCTAATGACCAACCTGTCAGGGGTCAAGAAGGTCAAAGCTCAAATAGATCAAAAGGTAGCCCACCCACCCAACCTGAGTCAACTCCAAACAAGTATCAAGGTGCAAGCATGCCTGCAAGACCTATTGAACCGAGGGTATACCATCCACCCTAGTCAACATGGGCAGGGTAGGTCAGAAGTTCAGACCCTAGGTTACCTTCAGCCAGCTAGCTCGAACCAGGTTAATCTTGGAAGCCAACAAATAGCTAGACAACTGAATCATGAACCACCTACTAAGAGTAGATCACCAAGCCAAGGGTCCGGTTCTATCCATTACCATTCAAGTTCAGGTTTGCCTCGAGGCCAGACACCCTCTAGTAGTAGCCATGGGCTTCGCACCCTCTTCCAGTCTAATGCTAGCAAAAGGGCCAATCCCAACTCTAGAAGTAGACCACCCAATACAAGACAGGGGCAACTTGACCTGACTAACCAAGGTCAAACCCAAAAGGTTGAATCACAATAGCAATCATGGCGGTTACTGTTCTCTCTCACCTATTAGTATGGATATTATCTTGCAAGCCTTTTAACATGGCCATATTGTCCAATCACCAAATAATGGGCCAAGCAAGGTTCAACCAAATAACCTAGGTGGGTCCATAGGTCAACAACCAGTCTACCTAGTTCAATCTGCTCCCCAATTCAGCCTTTGGGGTAGTTAGATCTACAAGTCTATTAGTAAGGCCGGGTGGGTCATATACCCCAGACCCGAGTTCAACGGACCATGTTTGGCAATCAGCCGTCTAGCCCAGAAGTCCTAGTGCTGACGGCTTAGTGAGCCAACATTAGACGAATCCTAAAGCTTATGTAGAAGAAAACCAAGGGATTCATCATGCTGCAATTCAGAAATAAGTTCTCCAGGAAGGGTGACAGGGATTCATCATGCCGCAATTCAGAAATAAGTTCTCCAGGAAGGGTGACCCCGAAACACAAGTTGAGGCTTACCTGCATTTGGTTCCAACATTGAGGGCAGACCCCATTAGCTTAATGCAACTTTCTCGTATAGCCTGTCAAAAGAACCCCTGAAATGGCACCAGAACATTATGAAGGATAACCCAGAAGCAACCCCCAATGAAATGTTCAGACGATTCTTCTCCCTTTATTGTGGGCAAAACTAAGACTTGTCACCCTGGGTGAGTTGAGTGCTACCAAACAAAAGCTGGGTGAGTTCTTTGCGGATCTCGTTGCAAGGCTCAGAGATGCCACCATGTGGATCGTTGAATGTCGGTTTCCTGAGCTCGCAAAAATTAGCTTGGCATTGGAAAATGCCGCTCCAGAATACATATCATTCTTTAGTAAAGGGGCAACTCCCTATTCTTTTGATTCAATGCTCGGAAGAGTTACATTTTACAAACGAGCAAAGGAGCATAAGGCCCGGTCAATCGAAAATCCAATGTTAGGGTGAATCCTACTAAGGTTGAAGGTGACTTTTCACACTTAATTCATGATGACTGACCAAAGATGGAAGGCTAGGATTTAGCCATGCTCGCCCCATAAATTTCTCAGTTATATTAGAAGCAAATTCCATAATTCCCAAACTACCCCTAGTAGCTGCATATATTAGGCATTGCTCACCCATTATGAACTAGAGCAACACATGGAGCCTAGACTCTTAGAGAATCACATGGTGGGTTTTCAAAGAGAGATTTGAAAGGTACATGGGTCTCCCTAGGGTTATGGGGGTGAGAGGAAATTGAGAAAAAGAAAGGCATATGGTTGGGGTTTAGAGAGAGACAATGAGAGAAAGTGCTTGCCGATATTTGGGTTGAGAGAAACAAGAAAGAGAGTCTGCAACCAGCAATCCCTTGCCTGTATTTTCCAACCAAAACACGGAGGAAGAAGAGGAACTCGGTGTTTTAAAATGCGGGATGCAGCCGTATGCATTGGGGGGGCTTACGTGGCGATGCGGCTCAATGCAGTCCAGATGCGGGTGCATCGCCACAATGCGGTCAATAAATGTAAAAAAAATCTAATAAATCTAAAAAAATAGGTCAATGCTAAAGAAAATATAGAGGTGATATATATAATAGAAGGTATTTAGTTTATTCATTCACTCCAAAAGTATCAGCTATCGGAGATCCTGTATCCACTATTCCCTAATAGAAACTAGAAACTTCAAACTAGCTTCATAAAAAATTCAACAACCATAATAAGCACAAATTTGCAACCACAAACTTTAAAGTTACAAAATACTACAAACTAAAAGTCTATGAAGATTCAAGAGTTCAAGCTTCAAAAGTCAAGCTCAAGAGTCAATTGAATCATCATCATTTCTTAAGTCTTGAGAGTGAGATTCTAAATTTCAATTTTTCAAATCCTAATAAGAGAAGTTATCCTGAGAGTCTCTAGGTGCATCATCATCGCTATCATCCTCGGCGGCCTCCACCGAAATTCATTACAAAAAATCCATATTCTAGATGTGCTGAATGGTCTATATGGATTAGGAGAAAGGACGCATGGGAAAATCATGATAAAGAGGCCTCACTCCACATAAGCTGAATACTTCCCTGTGGAAATATGAACAAAGGCGCATACAAAACCTATGCTTCATACTAAGAAGAATGAACAGACGTGCATACAAAATGTATGCCTCGTACTAATAACAATCAATCTCCACTGAATAAAACCAGTTCAAAAGTAATGCATATGGTATTAATACCTAATTGTGTGAATCAGAATGGCAAATCCATAAACATTATTCCAACTATATCATTTCCATCTAAACTTGCACCATATCTCATCAATTAATAAAGACATCAAAATAATGTGCATCCATTGGCTGGATAAAGTAAATGGCATTCACTTGCTCTCAAGAGAAAAGTACAATGCCATTGCTGAATAAAATGCCTCTCATGGGCTCCAATAAAATAACAAATGAATTTTCAAACATCAATTGCACCATTGTAGTTCCATCAAAGCAATTCATGGATTTTCTTTTATAGTATCTAATTTAGCATATATAATGAATCAAGAAAGAAAACTTCCAGTCATCAAAAAACATGGTAATGCTTCAAACAAATAGCAAGTGCAGTGACATGAATGTGTAATTCATCAGAACTATAATTGACACACATATACATCCATGCATACATACAAAGATGCATGCTTGATATATTTACCTCTGTGTATCAATAATAGGAACGCGAACAAGGACAAATTCGCAAAACAGTTCAATAATTTCATATGCAGCCACAATATTTTGCTCCCGTATAATATGTTCCACCTGGCAAGAAACAAACATATTAGAGAGACAAATACAAAAGCTAAAATTAAGGCGAACTCAATACCAAGAAATTCTAATAAAACAACAAGAATAAAAGAACCCAGAAATGGGTAAGTTGTATAACATACACGGATCCTAGCAATGGGCTCTTGACCAGTCTGGAGGAACTGTGCAATCTCTTTGCGCATCTGTTTCAGCTGAACTTCTCTCTTGTTTCTTAGAAGTTTGATTCGAGAAATTGCTAGTTTCAAACAAGTTTTGCTGGAGAATGAATATGAATCAAAGCCATCATTCTTTGAAGAACATAGTTGTGAAAAGTACATGTTTACTCGTAAAGAAACATCTATGGAGAATAACTGGTATAATTAGCACTCAAGTAATTCAATTCATCAAGAATAGAGTGTAATTCAAAAACAAAAAAGTTGGGAGGAAACACTAAGGCCAACAAAAAATCTCATCATACAATATCGACAATAAATAATATAAAGCAAAAATAAAAAGAAGAAGAGAAGATCCAAATTCTAGACGAAAAGAAAATTGGAAAAATAAAGTAAACAGAGGGGTTTCAGGTTGGAGGAGTTATCATATAACAAAGCAATAATGAGTTCGCAATACAAAATTTGCCCAATTCATAAGTCAATAACAAGAAACAGATAGATAAATAAACATACTGAGTGTATAGCAGGATCATCAAAAACAAAAACCTAAACAATGAAACGTTTTTGCGGGAAGAGATGGAAAGTAAGCAAAGTCACCATTTAGCTCCAAGCACGCCCCTGTTGAATAATGAATTAAGGAGTGACATTGCATCCCCTCTGCTATACAAAACAGACAGTATCACACCACCGTGAGAGACGGCAAGATATCATTCACGGAGAAAGGAATTGGAAGAAGAAAAAAAAACAGCAGAGAGAAAGGAAGGAGAGAGAAGCATAAATAAATAGAATCTCATCAGAGTCACAAGGAATAATATCGGCGACTTTTATCGGGTGGTAACTTAAATACGAGAGGATAAATAGCGGTGATATGGAACCATTACCGCAATTAGATGGAAAATCAGTGTCACAAAACCCGAATCCATGGAGCGAGTCGTGCATCCACGGTCTTCGGTTGGATCGGCAATCCGGTCAGGTTTGGATTTGTACAAAGCAATGATTTAAAAAATATTAAATAAAATAAAATTAAAATTAAAATAAAGGTGGGTGACTTGAACTTAATAAAATATTAAATAAACTTAATATATATATAAAGGGTGCGGTTTGTATAGAGCCTAGGCCGTAAACAATCAAATTAGAGCCTACCTTCAAATGGTACGAGAAATGTGGTTTCAATACTGGAAATCTTTGTGATAGCCTTAAAATATTTGTATTTATTTATAAAGTTTAAAGCTTTAAAAATAGTGTAGATTCGATAGATCTATGAAGAGTTGAAAATCTTGAAAATTGACGGTCGAAAAATACGTTACTAAATACACTATTTTCAAAACGTAAAATCTATGTTTTTTTTCTCGTGTCTATGCATCTTGATGTGGAGGTGATCATTTTGAGGATATTTAGGCTTCAAAACAACCTCTTTTAGTGAAATTTTTGATGAAGGCTCAAATTTGATTGTTTAGAGCATCGGGTTTATGTAAACTTTTTCCATATATAAAACACAATAGTACTTCACCTATTGATTTATCACCGTTCAAAGTTTACCACATGGTCACAAATATCTGATAGTGTTTGAATTTTAATATTTTTTTTACAAATCATAATGATCTGAAATTTTGTGGGTGTGCGCATCTTAGTGAGATGCACATGAATAAAATATAAAACAAATAATTTGAATGATAAAAATTACGTAAAATACCTTTATAAAGTTTCAAAGGTAATTTCATCATTTTATTTTATGACTATTATTTTTTTAATATTTTATTTTGATGCCACTTGGTTATATGTACTCGCATTCCAAATTTTAGATAAATCTAATTTGTACAAAAATTATAAAAATTCAAATACTATCAACACTGTGACCATGTGATGAACTTTAGACGGTGATAAGGTGTAGGTGAAGTACTGTAGAACTTCACCAATAGGCGTTTTGTAAATGCTTCCTATATATAAATATAAGAAGATGTTAGGGTCAGCCCACTAACTGATGGAATAGTATAAGCCCAACAATGTGGGCCGATCTAACAATTAGGACTGTATTTCGGTAATATAATTTTAATATTTTTTATATAAATTCAAATAATATGAAATTTGGAGCATCATCTCTTCCCATCAAGGCGCACCTAATAAAATATTAAAATAAATAATTCATATAAAATAAATAGACCAAAATATCCCTTGGAACGTTTAGGGGTATTTTAATCAATTTATTTTATGCGAATTATTTTTTTGATATTTTTATTAGATTTTGCTATTTTTTAAAATTAGACGCATCAAATTTCATGTGATTTAGATTTGTAAAAAAAAACTTAAAATTCAATTATGAAATACATTTATAATCAATGAATTGACCTAGATTAAATCTAGGCTATTGGGCTTACACTGTTCCATCAGCCTATGGGCTGACATAAGTTTTTTCCATATATATGTAGGAAAAGTATATAATGAGATCATTTTACCTTTAGTATAAGGTGGCCACAATTAATCTTGACCATTGGATGTGAAATTGGGTGGCTGCATTTATTACATCGACCAATCTCAAAGTCCAAAAGAATTTTTCTCAAATTTTATGACACACCCAAGCTTCAGATTTTACATTGGATAGTCGTAAATAATTGTGACATCTCTGTACAAAAAATAAATGGTCTCATTGTAGGGTTTGTCTAGAGTTAACAACCCCACAAAATACAAAGGTTAATGATAAAAGTGGTTGTGATCGGTGTATTTATAAAAAAGATCATTACCTTTTGTTTAAAATTTTAATTTAATATGTAACTTAACCATTAAGCAAATACAAGTTTGAAATTGTTAAGTACAATGACATTTCGGAAGTTAGTATCTTAGAATTTTAGTTGTAAAGTGTCATTATCATTTAGTAAAAATTTTAACTTTACCTTTTATGGAGATGACAAAAATAATTTTTGTATATTTACAAAAATAATTTTTGTATATTTACAAAAATACCATTACTTAATGAGCAAGATATCACAAAAAGTAATTTTTTTAAAAAAATAGACCACAAAGTTAAATAAATCCACCATTCACAACTCATTCTATCATTAACTTTAGACTATATATATATCTATATGGACAAGGTTTCTATGCGCCCAGCCCGCCTATTGTAGAAATGCGAGCTTGGCAATAAATATATTTTTTAAATATAATTTGATCCTAATTTTTAAAGAATATATAACCTTCAACATGAAGACCATGAATTTGGAAAAATAAATAAATTTTGCAAAAAAATAATACTTAGATCAAGAAAACATTTGGACAGTTAGTTACAATTGTTTTTAGATGGACTACTTATTTGCATCCATCTTTAAGATGGATGCTTTATACCTCTAGACCTCATATTTTAGAAATGTGATCCACCAAGCATAAAACAATTTTCATATATATATATATATGAAAAACCTTAAAAACGCATATAGGCGAAATGCCATAGTGTTTCGCGACCACCATAGACTTGCCATGTCCGTGGCGGTTTATTGAATGCGCCGTTCGTTGCGGTTCCATGTGATTTTTGGGGTGTCACAGACATGCTAGGTATGTGGCGGTTGAAAAACACATGACACCTGATTTTTTCGGATAGTGATGAGCGTATGGGCGAAAGCACTGTTCATTTTCGCCCATAGGCATTGCGTAGTGTCTTATATATATATATATATATATCTGGAAAAAACTGGGGTTAACCCACTAGCTCATATGAACAATGAGCCCAACGGCCCAGATTGAATCTGGGCCGATCTGACGATCATGGATGGTCGGTAGTACTTGAATTTTAATTTTTTTTTTACAAATCCAAATCACTTAAAATTTGAGGTGTGTGTTCTCCTCATCAAGGCGCACCTAATAAAAATATAAAAAGAGTTATTTGTAAAAAAGACCAAAATACCCCCGAAAACTTTTCGTGGTATTTTGGTCAATTTATTTCATGTAAATATTTTTTTGATA